TTAAAGTCAAAAAAAAAAGAATGGAGGAGGAGGGGAGCCAATGATAAATTATAATCAAGGTGTAATTTAAAGTTGATATATATGAGAAGAGTACAGGCTGGCTGTATTTAAAAAGAGGCAAAAGATGCTTGCAAAGGACTCATTGGCCAGACCTGCTCCCCTCTTCTTCCTATATTCATTACTGCACAGAGCTCACAAATTTTGTCATTGTGTCAACCATGGTATGATGATGAAAATAAAGACATATGCTGAAATTTTCATAATACTAAATTTATTCAATTTAAAGGAGTGTTTTATATTCTGAGATTTTATCCCTTTTTCTTTCTTTAGTCCTAAGACCTTTTTTTGTACAGAATGACAGTGAAAGTGATAATTGATATTTTGTGCTTCCCTGGAAACTTAGAAAATTCATCACTCTCTGTTGTTTCCCCACTTTAATTAAAACAAGTATTTTTTTTTTTTGGTATTGAACTGATTTGTGAAACCCAATTATCTGATAATCTCTTACCTAGGAAAATATAAAACAAAGAGTAAATGGTTCCCAACCTATTTGGAAGAAATCTCAATAATTAACATATACTTTAAGCAGAAGACTTAACAAAATCTTACTTTTGATTTTAAACAGCTCTCTCCAAAAAAATTGTTCCATGAGCATATCATATTAGTCATAACAACTACTGTTAAATGATTAATGAAACAATTCTTCATAACCTCTGACAATTTGACAGGAGTGTATTTAATAATAGCAATAAATACAGATGGAACTACATAAATTGAGGAGGTCCTCATGTAAAACCATTCCTGTATTTAGATGCCATCCCAGCTTTCTCATCTGAAATGAACCAAGAAATTAATTATAATGATGATCATAACAATATGAAAAAATTCAGAACAAAATCCAACCTCTCCGGCAGAATGCCTTCATTCTTGTTATGCACTGCCTGCTTCACATATGCTGAAACCATAGACTAAAGGAAAGTTCCAAAGAAACAATATTTAGGCTGAAGAATATGGCCCTGACCTTGTTGGGAAGGAGTGATATAGCAGTGACTTTCCTCCAGGTTAGGCCGCTTATTAACTCTGTGTGGCAATGCAGTTGCATAACCATTGGCCAAACTTGTTTAGAGAGTAGGCATATCTCCAAAGGTGTTCTCAGTTCTAGGCAAGCTTCCAACCAGCCTTCCTCTAAAGTGAAGTCAGATTTTCCCCTGCTTCCTATTCTCTAAACCCTTTCACCTTTCTGCATGTGCCATCTCTGAAGGAGTACTCACAGGGGTGTATCTGTATCAGGGTTTTTCTTCTTTATGCAGAGCTAGAAGCAAACACAAGAGCAATGAATCTGCCTGCTTTTCTAAGGCCCATGGGTAAATATTGTGAATGTATCAAAGTGGCTTAGGGATAGGTGCTATGGAAATACAGCCACCTCTGCACTGGCTCAGGTCTCATTTCTTTGGCCACGTTAATGGTTTTATTAAATTTGGAGAAGATGTAACTCTTAATCAGTGTGCTTCCATGCTTAGATAGCTGTGTATTTCTTTTTTCAATAGCAGAAATTGCTTTGGATTGGAACAGAGGGTAGGTTGAACTTCTCCTTGGGAAACATTGTTGCCTTGAATAATACTAAGTTATGTACTGCAAGGAAAATGACCCTTCCAGACTGATGAACTCAGCATAGTGGCTTTTGCTTAGAGGCCTTTCTGCCATATTTGCCCTCCTTTAACACTGAATTAACTGGCATTCAAACGTGTGGCATTAATCTACACACGCACATATACTGAAACAAGTTTAACAGTGAGCTTAACCACTCAACGATTCAAACTCCAGCCCACTCCAGCCAGGGCATATGGCTGTATTCTAGAGGTGAGCATGCAGATCTCTGAATCCAGAGCAGATGTTCTTCTTCATGTTTACTTATTGAATCACACACACCATAGCAACAATAAAGAGAAATTTTAAAGGAAGAAAAATCAACTCCAAATTCCCTACTCCTAACACCAGAGCTATTTTTATTCAGGCCTCACCCATATTTACTTCTATTCTTTGAAAAATTATACTCATGTGTGTAACTTTTATTCTCATGAGCAACTTTATTTTATTTGCAGTGCTTAAAACTCAGGGCCTTTTGTGTGCAAAGCATGCACCTTACCACTGAGCTATATCTCCAGCCCTTTAGATGACTTTTTTTTTTTTTCTTGGTTCTGGGGATTGAACTCGGGCCCTTGCGCTTGCGCAGCAGGCGGCAAAACCACTGAGCTAAATCCCTGGCCCCTTTTAGATGACTTTTTATTACAATACCCCAGAATACTTAGATACCTTCATTATTCTTTCCCTTCGTGCCAAAAGTCCAAAGCACAACGTCAGGAAGACTACAACACATGCAGCAATAATGGCTTCTATTGGTACAGGCACAGTTTTATCTGCAAAACAGGGAAGAAGAATGAACATTATATGCTTCTAATATGTCTCAGACATGATGCCTTGCACTTAACTAAATCCTACCAACAATCCCAAAAGGTGGATGGTATTGTCTTCACTTTACAGGTGAGGAATTAGGGACTTTGAGAGGTTAGGTTACTTGTCCAAAGTCACAGACCTAGTACAGAGGCAGGCTTTGAATTCATTCCTTTGTGAAAGAATAATTTATTGTAATAGGAACAACTCCCTCAAAGGAAGTAGACAATTTTGTGCTTAATCCATCATGTTTGCCACACAGAAAACAGAAGCAGGCTGAAGTCAATGGTTTTTCTTGTTTTTTGAAAGGCCCAAAAGATATTAAGAGGTATCCTAAAGGGAGAAAGAAAGGGAGAATAGCTTTAAGAGTGAGAAGACAAAGTATGGGGAGGTCTCTGGACTAAGAAGGAGAGATCCATGGGCTCTGGGAGCAATAGGGACAATCACCAATTCTACCTCTACTGAGATAGTGTCCCAGCCAGGTGACAAGACATTTTAGAAGATGGCTGCATGGTGTCCCTAAGGGAAGTAGGACTTCCAGCATTAGCCTTTCCAACTTTGGTAAAGATTTCCCGTATGGTTTAAATGATCAAGGAAGTGTCTGCTTTTTTTCACCCCAGTACTGGAAATTGAACTCAGGGCCTTCACACTGCACTACATCTATAGCTTTTTTTATTTTGAGATAATCTCACTAAGTTGCTAAGTTGCTGAGATTGGTCTTGAATTTGCTATCCTCCTGCTTCAGCCTCCCATCACATTAGGATTATAGATGTGTACTACCATGCCAGTCTAGGGTATCTACATCCATTGTGGACCATGAAGAGATCATCAGCAATGAAAACAGCTTGGAAATGAAGCCCACTTCCTTATTTTCTGAGCACCAGGTAAACTCAGAGTTATTTCACTAATCAGACACTATAGATATAATACCTGCATTTGCAAGTGTCCTCAAAAATATTTGAGGCCTGAAAAAAAACTATTGGTTCCAAAATATGAAAAGAAAGTGACAAAATTAATCAAAGCTAATACACACTTAAACATCAATAAAATGTGACCATGTGTCAGTTCTAACCCTTGTCAAATAATATTTCAACCTCAAGAATAAAATTCACAACTGATTTGTAACAAAATGTATATGAATTATAAAACTCCTTTCAAAATGTTTACAGCAAAAAACCACATGTAATGTGCTTTATTTTAATGTGTTTCATATATTATGGGTTGAAATTCTCAAAACTGAAAGTGCCAACGATCAACAAAAGTTTTTAAATGAACTTATGTGAACCCAGGAGTCTAATGCCACTGGAGGAAGGAAATGGGATCCAATTATGGCTTAGATAAGATTTTAGGGATTTAAAGTAAATAGAATGTGCTATTTATTGTACAATGAGTTTGTGGACTGGAGTCAGCAAATATGTACTGAGTGACTAACATGTATGAGGCGCTGTGCTTTATCCTCCAAATGAATAGGACAGACATAGAAGGCTCCTATTCTAGTGGGAGATACAGACATCAAACAAATAAAAACTACAGATTGAGATATGTATTATAAAGAAGAAAGGGTCATGAGATGGCATATGAAGGGTGAAAGGTGAAAGGAGGGGAAGAAGGGGACTTGAGATAAATCTAAAAGCCAAGGTCTTTTATGCCTCAAGGTTATGACATAGAGGCCCCCCATAACTGTATAACACATTAACTAGATATGTTTGAATTACTCTCTTCCCATTATTTGCCAATTCCTCACAATTAATTTTGGGGATTAATGGATTAACTGTGCTTTACTTCTTGCTTTTTATTATTTTATTCTTGTTTCTCGTCCTCCTCTCCCCTCCCTTCCCTACTTTCTCCTTCTCAGCTCCTCTCTTCCTTTCTCCTCCCCTCCTCTTTCCCTTTCTCTTCCCTCTCTTTTTTTTTGGTGCTGGGAATTAAACCCAGTGTCTCATACATGCTAAGAACAAACTCTACCACTGAGCCCCAAAGCATCCATCACTTTTATTCTCTCTTTGCTGTTCCTAAAAACTACTCTTAGGAAAGTGTGTGTCATATCAACCCTCTGGAGAGACTTTGCTCAATAGGCCTGCTGGAAGCTCTGGCTCTAAAATAGCCAGCTCTGGGATACACCAAAGACCTTACTAGGGACATTTTCACTTGCATGTCATGGAAAGGCATCAAAACAAAGGGGAAGCACAGCTGGGATGAATTGGAAAAGAAATCAGAATATTTTTACCTAGCCAAATAAAATGAAGACATGCATGACAGCTTTCATTTCATAAACAAGCTGAAATAAACTAACCCACTGGCTCACTTTGATTCCAAGTTTCTGTTGAAATTGATGTTGAAAAATGTAACTGCACCTCTCTCCACTTTTCTGTTTTTAAACTCTCATTTGTAACCAGATTTGGTGTCCCCTCCCCCTTATTCATTATGGTAAAATAATTCAACACATGTGCTAAATCTTGTGCTCAAGAAAAGCTCCATGATGTCATTTCCGGCTTTGCATGGCCTCATTTAGAAACTTCCCCACTGAGCAGTGAAGCTGGGAGAGCCTCATGGAAGACTTGGCTGTGAGCCTGAGCACCAGAAAGCAGAGTCCTTATGTTATGAAGACAGCCAACAGCAAGGGAAGTAACAAAGCAGGAGAAATAAGAAAAACAGGTTGGTTTGGAAGAGCTCCACCCAAAACAAGTTTCTGCCCACCTGAAAGGCAATTTGCTGATTGCCATGCAAGTTGTATACATGTGGCATAAAGCAGTTACAATTTCTTAACAAGAGGAATGATGTAATTCCCTAGTCTCCAACTGTGGTCTTACAGCCAGTTAGGATAGCATGGTGTGATGCCATCCTACCATGCTTTTGTGGTCCTTGGAAAGGTAAAAAGCCACAAACTTCTAGGTAATGTCCCTTGCATTGCTTTTGTCCCAGGGATTCTTAGGTTATTTGTGGGTTTAGTTTTTAAAGAAAGTAGCCCTTAGCATACTACTGGTGCTCTGCAGGACAAATCACTGAACAGGACACTAGTTAGCGTAATGGGCAGTCACTCAACAGCAACTCTTCTTCCCCTCCAGCCACTCTGTTCATGTCCCAGATCCTCCTGGGTGGGCCTGGGGAGGAAGTAAGAACTCCTACAGGTATATCAGTTCGCCATTTCTGGCAGGAATTCAGTTAGTTTCCTGAGGACTGGCAAGAATGGCAATGTGTGGGTACAGGGAGGCAAATGACAAAGTGAATACTGTTCTAACAAGATACAGGAGCCTCGGCTTGTTTGGCTGCTCCTTACATACTGGCTCAAGACCAGAAAATGTGTGCACAAGCATTTTCTGCATCTGCTACACAGGTATCTTGCCTTTTCTTTTTGTCTGAGCAAGAAACATGATAAGGGAAAACACTCAGAGCTCCATTTGTTCTCTATTATAGCAGAGATGATAAAGCTGGGTAGATGACACATAAAGCCAAAAGGAAGAGTTTCTTTTCATCATTTTCCCTACCATCTCTTCTGTTAGCCTACAGGTTAGAATGTAAGAGGAGTGATTTTAGAGATCTATTTTAAAAAATCTATTCAATGTGTTTCTGAAATCCCTCCTGTTTACTCATCATGCTGTGAGCTTAAAAATCCACTTCCTACACACTAATTTGTGGAAATACTTTCCCCTAAATATCTAGAAAGGACTTTTGCTCAAAAGGCAATGCTTTTTGTAAATAGGGAAGGGTGGAGGGGGTAAAGGGAGGGCAGGGGAATGGGGAAAAAATAAGAACCAAGATACATCATGTAAAGGTACAAGATCCCAATGATGAATGTA